TCGAGATATTGTACATAATTTTTGTTTAAAACGCTTCTTGTTGAAATATACATAACTTCCGTGTACAATTGAAAAATACACTCTGCTGTTGGAGACTTCGTCTTCTCCCTGGTCACTTCTGCTTACTTGCTCCACTCACACCGTGTTGTATACTTCGGATTTATTGTAGGAGCCTACTACTTTCAACCGAAGACATTTCTACAACCGGAACACAGCAGCTACAGCAGACGCAGTCCAAACAGTTAACGTGCCTGTGGATTATATAATTAATTTGTAGCCGAGGACTTATACTTTATAACCAAGTAATCCTTTTTGTTGCTATAACTCGTCACTGTATTTTTGGTAATATATTGTGATTTAACACTCCACTGACTTGGATTATTACTTTTATATTTGGAATGTTAGTGAACTCTAATATTAGTCCCCTACAAGAGGATGTGAAATTGCGTAATAATTCTATCTGAATACAAGATTGAAATGTTCAGCCCCATCCCGGAAGTATGGTGTAGATATGTTGATGACGCATTCACTTTATTTAGGACACATAATTCAGATAGATTTTTCGAACACATTAACTCAAAGGTGGAGGCAATTCACTTCACTTATGAATGGAAGAGTCAGCAAGACTAGGTTTCAGTGTTAGATTTTAGCGTAAAAAGTACCACAGATCTGATGGTAAACATTGATGCTTAGAGGAAACACACACTTTCAAACAGATATTTAGATTTCCGATCATCACAACCTATGTCAGTAGAAATGGGATTCGTAAAATGTTTAAGTGAGGTTAGGGCACAAAAGCTAAGGGAAATCTAAGACATGAAGTGAGACATATAAGAGAAGCTTTGCAACCTTAATAATTACCCTGAAAATTTGATCAGGAAGTACGCAGGGAAATGTAAAAATGAAATTAATAATAATGGTAGTGATAGTTGTATTAATAACAATAGTGGCTACATGCATACCCTGCTGGAATGATTGCCAGGTCAAAGTAGCAGAACGGCGTTTGTCAGTCAGACTAACCGAGCATAAAAACTTATCGGGAAAATCTAGATTAGTTAACCTGAATAAGATTAGAAATTTGGAGAATAGTTCAGATATATCACTCACTACATACAATATACGATGGATGGGATAAGATGACGGTTTTAAAATCCAGTGTAACATCAGGGTGGAGGGAGAGATTGATAACAGAGGCTTTGTGTATCGACTCAACTGTAAACAAATGTAGTAGAAATGATTCAACACCTGTCCATCTGGATATCTGGAAAATTCTACTACCTCAACGACGAAAAATAAGAGAGGACAAAGAAAACTATAAAAATCAAGTTTCGAAGTCGTGCGATTATAATTGGCGATATGACTATGAAGAATAAATTGTGTTAGAAACATTGTCATCTAGTAAATAATACTGTTTCACTGTGTGATGCATCTAATGGACAAACTAATGTGCAATTTTTTTGTTTAGTTGAATAATTCCACAAAATTATTGGCCACAGGTTTCACCACTGAACATTGGATACTGACCCTCACTGTTTAAGTCAACTTGTTTAGCTGAAGGCTTCCGTCAGACTTCCATGCCATTTGGTTCGCCGCCATGTCACGTTCGTTTGTTTGCACACCATCCCTAGCTTAGCATATTTATTTTCGAATATTAAATAAAAACTGTCCATTCGCTACCGCGAGATTCGACGTATGTTCACGGGAGGAGTGTGTGGAAGAGTTTCCTTGGTGTGCATAAAATCAAGGCTTACCATGAGAATCTCAGAGGCCTCAAGAACGTAACCCTTTCAGGGAGACTTGTTTAGACTTTGTCCGTAACTGTGATTAAGTTTTTGCAGATTTCGTTGCCGGTGGTAATTCTTTGTCCAGTCATTGCACATTGTAACCGTTTTTAGCCATGCGGTACAACGTTACATATCTTTCTTGTATCATTCATTAGAAATGCCCATTAACAATTTATAAGACTGATTAATGGAAAAGGAGTATCCTATGCAACGAATTTGTCATCAGGTTCTACATATGAATGACAGCAGTAATTAAAGAAATATTCTTCACAGCAACGTAAAAGTGTTCTAAGTTAAATTACACTGCATCAGTTGTATCGACAGATTACATTTCGAAAGCACCATCAGTAGGAGATATTATAGATTAATCTAACACTAAACTACATCAGATAAATTGAAGGAAATAACGCAGAATTCTCAGGCTCGACAGCAGTCCAAGGCAGTAATACTTCCTATTATTTACAAGATTGAATGAGTAGGGGACGAATGCGGAAAGCTAATTGGACTCAAGGTATTACAGAATCAGGAGATAGACGAAAATTCAGCTTCATTACTAGGAAACGAAATGACAAATCTGCTTGGGACTTGAAAGAGAGAGAGATTTTAAGCAACATCATCAAGTAAATTTGCGTGGCAGGATATTGGCAATCCGTGAAGACAATATGAGAAGAAATCCCTCTCAGCATATTAAGCGAAGGGGCATTAGCAGTAATTACTGACTATACTTATCTGAAATCTGCCTAAAGAGGGATGGCTAGTGGATCAGAAGATGAACCAGTGCTGAGAAGAAATGGCGAAAGAATTTGAGTATGCTATGGACAGCACTGAGCAGAGGATGTACCAGTTTACTCAGTTGGCTGCTGAAACAATCACATTCATATCAGCTTTCCGAATGTCTGGTCGAGCTGATGTTTCGGTCCGTGCTGCTGTTGCTGTGAACTTGAAAGTGAGCACAGCATGATCATTTCTTCCTAAAGGAAGATGTTATATGAGATCCACGTCCTCAGCGTTGGAGAACACTAGGTCCAGAGTTGAAGGGTGGTGCTGTGAGTCAGCGCGTGGGCTTAACGACATGTTGGACTAGTGTTAAAGAAATACTAGATTCCAGTAGTTGATGGTCAAAGGATTCGTCTGAAGATGGCGTTGTAGGGGTTGTCCATTCAACTGCTGGGGCGTCGAAGACGCCGACTACGAGACATCCACATTCTGATGTCCGGGAGCCTAGCTCCATTTTTAGGAAGTCATATGCACTGAAGTCAGGACTGTGGTATGCAGCAATGAGTTCAATATCTTGGCCTATGCATTCACGTCTGCATTGAAGAAGTTTGCACGATTCACTTTCGTGAGCGAGTGGTTCGATGCTACGCACGGTTAAGCATTTCTTGTGTTAGATGACTACGATACCTTTACCGTCTAGTCAGTCTACCCTATGCACTTCGAAGTTTGGCAGGTTAACGTAGTTGTCAGTGACATTGGATGTTATCCATTTGGAGTGGCGTAATACCACTCGTCAAGCAATGATCTGAAAGAGAGCAAAGCGCACGTTAGCAGTGTGATCACACAAAGGAACGAAGACTCAAGGTCAAGTGTTATATTTACAGCCAATCGCAATACATTTAGATAAGAGGGAAGGGGAACTCCTATCTGTCATCCGTTGCCTCGTCTTGGGTAACCAATCCCTGCATACTTCGTAGCCGACCTGAAAGTAGACAAGCGTAGTTTTACCGTTAGAAAACCGCCGAACTTACCATGCCTTACAGTGGCTTTATTGCATATCCCCGCTATTGCGCTTGTTGCTATGTATTTCAAGCGGCCTTGGTTTGAGAGGGAGATTTAATTGATACAATATTGTGATTTCATAGACATAACTTAGGCTCATAGGTGAAAGAAAGTTATTATCCTGGGATAAAGAAAAGTTGTTCAGTAGGTAAGGAGGACATAATTTTTCCGTTTATTCGCAAATATACAATTGCGCATCGAGTTGCACTGCGATTCCACATGTAGCAAAAGATTATGAATACCTTGCTCTTCTCTTCTGTATAAGAAAGTTACTTCACAAGATTAGCAATGTTTAGCTCAGTAAGGACAAATATAAATTTTTCCACTTCAGTGTTGTGAGTTAATTTGTGAACTGTGTATGCCCCTAAAGTAATGCATTTGGCATGCATGCTTCATAGTGAAATCAAGAGTGTGCATGTTGCACTAAATCTTCTGCACTTTGTATATGGATTCGATGTCCATCAAATGTCCATTTGCCAACTGTTGAATGTTGCATGCGATCAAGTTAAAATTATAACAGGTAAATCCAAGCATTGTTGTCATTTTCATTGGCAGCAGCTCACAGCCCATTGAGTTTACACAAGTAAAATACCCATTTATCATTTTACTGAGAAGACATTAACTAGGATTCTGGAAAAGTAGTACGTCAGTGTGTGAACTTCATGCATCTGTAGGTTTCATTCCATCTACTATGAGGGAACTCACATTTCCAAGAAGGATAGAATACAAGACTCATTTCTACAACTGTCGACCTTATTTTAGTTCACTTTCATCATACATGTATTAACCGAATTGTCTGTCACTCACTTCAGGGACTTACCAGGGAACAGTCCCACCAACTCAGTGTATGCTGATCGTCCACAATATCTTTTAATATTTTACAAATACACTTATATTGTTAGCATAATATACTGCACTATTTTTGAGTTGAATTGACTATCTTCAGTCAACAGTTACCCATCTTCATATAATTTTCTACAATTCATAATGCTAAATCTATGTAGTATTTTTCCATTGTATAGTTGATGAGTCACTTTGCAATGTGTAATACACACCATATAAAATCTGTCGTGAAAATTTAGCATAACAAGTTCTGCTAACCAGTTGCTTTTCTCAGGACCACCTCACATAACTTTGTCACTGATTTTTCCACTAATTAAAATGATTAAATTATTTATTCAGCAAATATTCTCTTGCTTTACCACGCTTGTTTCCATTGTAACACTTAATTATTGAGCCTAATGTATTCTTTGATAATACGAATTATAATATTAATTATACTCTTATCGTATACAGATCGATTTACTTTACGGCTGCTGTCAGTCACGTCTCATAAACCGTCAATGCCCAGCTCTTGCTACGCTCGGGCCCACGCTGTTCCTTGCAGTTTTTCAGAAACGCTTAATAGTAACGGACGCGAAAACCAAAACACCGATTGGCCACTCGAGAATTCTTTATTGTTACACCAACATATAAATATTGTTATAACTGAGGTCTGTGAACAAATATTACAATAATAAATCACAGTATTACTTCTGACGGTTTACTGCTGACTTCTTTCTGAACAGCGACCGATGAGACGATGACTGTCGTATTGATGCCTCCGCGAAAATCGAGGAAGTTGATTTTGAGCAAACAACCAAGAATTGATCGTTCAATCTTCAACTACATTGACACTCCCCGGCAAAATACGGATCCAACCCTTTCTTCCTTCACGACGAATACACGTTGACTTGGATGCCATTGCGAGAACCTGGGTCACACGGACAGAGCTGAAATGGAAAGCAAACAGAAAAGCCAACACACCACAAGCATACCCACAGCACAATCTCACACATCAATGACGACCTGCTCCTTCCAGTTAAAAGCATCCTCTTGCAACACAATCACCACTTGCTAGAATGACTCTTGCAGAATGCAACGTGACCATAGCACTACCTCACGATACTCTACCCTCATCATCTTATCTACTCACTACCAATTACCACCGAAATCGCTTGTCACTCATTCTGCCTCAATTCTAGTAACGATGACGTATGCGAGCCTCAGTCGTTTACACTCTTTCTCCCCGGCGTGTCGGACCGCAGCTAACAATTATCTCCGTGTGCATTTCATTCTCAGCAATAGCCTCTCCGGCGTATACGACCCATCTGCTGTCCTTAACATCAATCAATTCATTCATGGATGTAGAAGACTCGAAACAACTTCAGAAGTAATCACGACGAAAATTTTAACAAAATTACGCAATAACAACAAGATACGAAAACAACAAGTAAACACAATTAATCCAAAAACACCAATTGATATGACACACCACACATATATACAAACTGTACACAAAAACTCGCGGATCATGTCTTGATGGAATTCCTTTGAAGAATTGCAGGACTTACACCAGTACGCCTACAACCCTTCTCACGTTGACGATTGTAATTTGTGGAATGTCCAGACACAAACAACATTAACCAACAATTACGATAATTGGAACTCACACAACTATTTAACACAAACATATGTACAATCACTACATCAAATGTTGTGGATTCCGGCATGACAAACTACCCTTGAAGAACTGTAGGACTTACAGCAGTACGCCTACATTCCTTCTCAGGTTGATGATCCAAGTGGAAGTCGTCCGGACACAAACAGAATTACCAACAGCTAGATGATAAATGATACCAATTCAGTATATACAATATGAACATATGTACAAAATCACACACCAAGCACATTGGACTGCTCATTGATGCGCTACCCTTTGAAGAACTGTAGGACTTACAGCAGTACGCCTACAACCCTTCTCAGGTTGACGCTCTAGGTTGGAAAATCGTCGCAGAGTTCATTTGCTAACTTCCTTCTATCAGCTATATCCTCAAATCTGAACGGTAACACGCTCATGTCATTGTATCGTAGAATATAGATGACTAACAAACACACGACATATCTCATCAACCAAGTGTAGAAACAGAGTAATTTACACCAAAGATAATAGCATTCAAATAGTAACTTGAAACTAGAAATGCCTTTATTCATGCAAGTCAATTTAACAATTACTCTCTCGTTTACACTTGGCTTATCCTCTCTAAACTGAGCAATATCTTTCGTCTTTTCAAATGCACCAATACTATCATAGTCATTGCACAAGATACTTGAGTTGATGGGCGTCTTTTTCATTGTGGATGACAACACCAACGATGACCGATTGATACCAGTTGATGAAATTAGCGGTGGATCAGAAGCTGTTCTTTTTCGGCTTTCAGAAATTTGTCTACCTGCAAGACCACCACCACTGCTGTCTTTTACTATCAGCTCAGGTTTAGCACTAGCATCTGATGATAGGTGGGCTACATGCTGATCAATCACACTGACGGTCTCACAAGTATGCATGCCTTCTGCAACTGCATCTGCATTTATTTCTACTTCACGTTCAAGTTGTACAGAACCTTTGTTCAACTTAGCAGTAGTAGGCATATCCCTCATCTCATCATGATCAACCAAAGACAACTGTGAAGTATCATGATCATTACCACAAATATTCAATTTACCGTCAAGTTCATCATTTTCAAACTCTTTAATAACAGAAGTAGACAATTTTGGTTCCTCCTCACAAATCATTAAAGGTTTTATATCTTCACTCTGACTAGTTATACTTTGTAAACTTTTGGAGTCAGAACTGCACTCTGAAGCAGTAACTCTATTCTGTGACACTCTATTCAACAATGGCTTACCAGTTGCAACTACAGACTTCCTGACCGCACAGTTATCGTCACACAATTCGGAGTCAGGCCTGGAGTTTACATTTAGCTTATCACTGAACTTGCTCACTGGTTCACAGTTCACCTTTGTATGCACCTCTTGCACACGTGCAAACCAAAACCGTGTTTGTCTTGCATCTTGTAACTTATCTGTTGAGGATGTACTACGAAACCTGTTACACTCACTAGGTCTATATGCATTACTAGACATCATGGAGCCTTCTCGATATCCACCTCTCTGAGGCCTACTCGTCATCAATGATTGCATTTTGATCTCAGACTGCTCTATTCTAGGGGTGAGATGTAATAGACTGGCGAACTTGCTCATAGATTGATTGACACTATCTTTTACCAGTTTCAGGATATCATCAAACTTTGGCTCGATACCCTCATCCTCCATACGGGAGCTTATCTTCACCCACTTCCTTTGCAGTCGAGTAGGTAGACGTCTTGCTATTACTTCTAGTATAAAACTCGAGTTGAGGTCACTCATGCGATTCATCGAAATCATTGCATTCTTGTAAATTAGCAAATTATCTAAAAACTCAGTGAGTGCCTGGGAGTCATCCTGTAATTGACCACCATTACCCTTAACAGCCTCGAATAATTTCCCTGCAATCATCGAAGGTCTTCCAAACCTTTGACGTAATATGCTCATAGCCTCGTAGTAGCCCTCTTTTGGCTTCATAAACTTACAGCACTGTATAGCTCTTGCAGCATCTCCAGTGCAATATCTCATCAAATACATTAACTTCAATTCATCATTTAATAAAAAACCACTCAACATGATCTCAAACTCCTTTACAAATTGTAAATAATCAGCCGGGTTTCCATCAAAACACCGTGGTTCCAATTTAGGGAGTTTGATGTTCCTATTATCCCTGAACGGCGAAACAGTAACATCAACCATGTCATGCTTAACATCAGACACATCGTTACAATTAACAGACAAGTCACAATGACTTACTTTCCTGTTTGCATCCAAGACACTCTGTCCCTTCTTTGACCCAGGCATTGTTGAACTTGACCCAATTCCAAAGACGTTCCAGATATTGCTTGTTCAAAGAGGACTTGACCGGCACCAGGAAAAATGAACGGCGACTATCCAAACTTTCACCAACTGTTTCAATCCGCCAAAGTCTGTTTCTACCATCAGAAACTGTCAGTCACGTCTCATAAACCGTTAATGCCCAGCTCTTGCTACGCTCGGGCCCACGCTGTTCCCTGCAGTTTTTCAGAAACGCTTAATAGTAACGGACGCGAAAACCAAAACACCGATTGGCCGCTCGAGAATTCTTTATTGTTACACCAACATATAAATATTGTTATAACTGAGGTCTGTGAACAAATATTACAATAATAAATCACAGTATTACTTCTGACGGTTTACTGCTGACTTCTTTCTGAACAGCGACCGATGAGACGATGACTGTCGTATTGATGCCTCCGCGAAAATTGGGGAAGTTGATTTTGAGCAAACAACCAAGAATTGATCGTTCAATCTTCAACTCCATTGACAGCCGCCATTCTGCCATTCTTCTGTATACACACTGTAGTATTGTTAACCAAATGCTGAAATTTTGTTGGTTCTGTGTTAATATTTTATAGTACGTTTAGACAGGTTGTTTTGCAATGTCAGATGTTGACTATATATAAGACTGTCATGATTATTTAGTACACTAAGTCCCGCAAACCAACCTTACCCTCAGTTCATACTACCTACACTGAACCCTAACTATAGTGTTCTGCTGAATCTTGCTCCACTACTCACAAAACCTATTCTTTTTAATCTTTAAGGTATAAACTTCTTATAAAGTAATCTGTTCATTCGGATGCATGCACACATATATAATATGTTCATAAAGATGTACGTGGAGACCTATTGGAAGCACTCATTAAGAAAGCTAGGGAGATGGAATTGTGAGGTACGAATATGTCTGGTACAAAGCAATATATTTGCTGTAGCCATAATAACCATAGTCTCAGAGCCTAACATCAAAACAGGAGGGAGGGTGGCGCTAGCTGATCAGCAGATATGGTGGTGGTTACTAAGGTGAATCGCTCCATTCTGCAAAGACAGCAATATGCAATTTGACGGCTCGAGATATTTCTGATTTTTATAGGGGCTTAGAACTTTATCTTGAAAAAGTTAATAATGAACGCCTAGACAGATCATGCTTCTACCTTTAAATATATACCATTCTCTCAGCCTATCGTTGAGATGCGACCACGTGGGATCTGCACAGATTTATGGGGCATCTTCTAAATTAACTTGCTATCCATTGTCGGATCTTTGAATATAGCTTCACAATGCCTTATCTCATTCATTTTCTAATAATGTCTTTACTTGATCCGCATTATACTCCATTAAACCTAACATTTTATAGCTCTTTATGAATTTGATTCGACTTATTCTAATTCTATTATCTGTAGGGTACGGTTGTGCACTAAATGCACAAAAAGTTATAAAATAAAAATAACCGGCATCAGGATAAACGTATTAAAGTCAAAAGTGGACATCATGATAGTAAGACCTATATGGGTAGCATTATACATTGCAAATGAACGTTGTCAGCCTAGTGACTTCCTTTATAAATGCATTTGTTAATGATATATTGCACTTATTTATTTCATTACACTTTAATGATTCACCTTAGCACTTTAACGTTTCTAAAACTGTTTTCAATCCCATGCAAACGTTGTACTTACCTCAATATTGGTTGGTTATTGTGTTCCTACAACCACGGGTTGAAAACGAAACAAGGTCGATTTTCCCGCGCAACCTGGGGGACAACTGTACAATTCAATAACTATACGTCCTGGTTCAGACAATGAGTGTATTTATATATATATATCAAATATTTATCTGTTTAAACATTATTAACTTGTAAACAATCTACGATTTGAGATTATATCATACTTGATGGTGCCTGTAAAAATGGAATGCATTTTCATGTAAATTTATGTTTATATGAAAATATACATTATTACATGTTTCATTTCCAAACAAGAAAATTTTATAGGGTAATGTAGGGCTGAGCGCATTGAGTTAATTAAATAATGGATATATCTTGTATCAGTGAAATGCTTCTATTCGAATTTCAGCGAAGCTGCAACGTCTTCCTGCAGGGTTTATTCAGTGCACTCACAAAGGGAACAATAGTTGGTACTGAGAGATCCAGCCATAAGCATCTGTGACACAGTCGAATTACTTTTGCAACTAAAAGCGATAATACTGATATTAAGTGTGAGTGAACTGATTGAAATGTGAACTGAGTGAATCTAGTGTAACATGGCACCACATCCAAACACGGTATTCTTTTCTTGTAAAATTTCTGCATGTACGATTATAATTCATGGACTGAGCGTTTATTAAGTGTGGAGGAGTCCCACGGAGTTATTTAGACGAAAGGCCGACGTAATGTGATACTCTACACACGCACCTTCAGATGCAGGCATGTGTTACTTCACATAAACACTGGACCATATAGAGAAAACATTCCTTTGAATCGCCATTCCGTTGTACGCTCAATTATTGTTCGTAAATATGTAATGACTGTGCATTTCCTAGTTTGCCTATAGTTACGCAATGTACATTATATTAAGGAACACAAATGGATTTTCTGAAAACCGGTGGTGTTCCTCCTCTAGTCTTAACTGATGTCACATTGATTAACACGACTGAAGGAATAGATTGTAACGTGATGAGTTCTGTGGCTGAGAATCTTATTTACCCAGTTTCGAATCGATATCATGCGTTTAATCCTATTAACCTATGGATGTGGTTCTTCCTTCACGATATCTAAAAGTCAGGATCACATTGCCTTTGGAAGATCTAGTTTTACTTTGTGACTAATTGGTGAGTCACCTGGTGTTGTATTAGTGGAAAAAACAACCTAAAACCTAAGTGTTTTCTGGATAAGAACATGTTAACTTATTTTGGCGACAATTCAATCTTCTTACCAAGAAACCCTTAGGAATAGCAAACTTTACTTAGTAATTAAGAGCTAGAAGTAAACCCTATTTTACTAAGTTATTATGAGTGAAATAGTACTAGGATAAACCTATTCTAACGTAAACAAATAATGATAATCATTTAGCCATTTACTTTCAGTCTTAATTTCAAAGACAAATTTAGTTGCTCACTAAATTAGTGGTATCAGGAGACCGCTCTGCTCTTGTCTCCGAAATACTTTGCCCAATCGTATTTCACTTCAAAATATGTGTCTGCTGGTTAGTTGATGTTGCTTATCCAGTTATACCGTTATTCAGTCACAATTTCAGATCTGTGTTCCGATTAATCAAAACAACCATTAAACTATCAACAAGTTACTATCACTTCTAAATAAATAACCTTAAACATTTGCATGTAAACGATGCTAATAGCTCTATCACCTACATGATGTTTCAACTTTGAATAATCAGTTTTCCCTCACGTGAGCACCTGTTTCAATTTTAACGGATAGCTCTACCATTTGACTACTGAATTAGTACGTTTCGTTATATACCATCCTTACGAAATATAGGTACTGATAACTGCTAACAAATATATCACGATAACAAGAATGTACTGCATACTGACAACAATATAACTCAGAGGCGGACGTATCTTCTAAACGCACTACCCAATACAATACATGACCCCGTAGCTCACAACATTTTGTAAAGTTAGTTGTCACTATTAACAAGTAGAATGTCCACCGGAGGTATAGGGAATGTATTTATTAGTGATTAAACACAATGTACGAAACTAACGATACTGGAAACCAACTTCTTCAGCAACAAATCCCACGAGGTCACTGAAATTACAGAGTGGCTGAAAAGAGAAAACAGGGGTTCATAGGATGTATACATGAATATAACTACTAATGTAATCATTAATAAATTAGCACAGTAGGAATTAATGGAAGTTTATATCAATGTGTGATTACATAAGCCACTATTTTGACACAAGTGGATGTTTAAGCAAAGTAATAAGAAGACATGATATATCTGAGTCTTGTAGTGTTGTATTTGAGTAACACACTTTGGATAATCTGGTCACGTATAAACTCTCAGCGATCAAAATGCCACACAAAAATGCAAAAGCTTGCACGAATTCGATATCAAACATACTCCTAGGTTCCTGCAACAGAAATAGGTACTGCACAACAGCTGATAGAGAAATTTACGATCAAGTACATGTTTTCGCTAAGCTGAAAAGAAGTTTATCGAAAGATATTGGTCGAGATGTACGCAAAGCTTACTGGATATGCCAAATAATCATTGCATGAACCATATATTTAAGCGTCCCGCCACACAAGCAATAAGTAAATGCTCAAGAACAATATCGAACAACAATTTTACATATATCCATCCAACAAGAGCAAAATAAGCACCGAGACCACGTCAACTGCGTTTGCCTGGACGACTAGCCCCAGCTCGGATCCAGTTTCTAGTATCCTTTTTATGAGCTAGTGTAAACCAATTTGATTTCTTTGTGCTGGCCTCTTGATTGTGAGGCACTGGTTCCTGATCTTCGGTAAACGTCTGAGTAGCTCGTCCCGCCACTCGACTGTCGTAGCTTTGGTTAACCCCTAAAGAAATAGTGCTGGGATTAATTATATGTGGTATGTAGTATGAGGTGTGTTAACACTGTTACTACTGTGAATGGAGTGGATTCTTTCACCAGTTAGTCCTCCGGTATCGTTGTCAAAAGAAGAGATAATAATATATATCACTAGTCAAGTTATTCAGACTAACAGACAGAAAAAGAAATAAGAAAACGTAACAGCAGTCAGCCGATTAAATTTGAAGAATAACATGAATTACATATAAATCGGTAATATTGATAACAATAATAATAGGTGTAGTTAAAATTGTCAGGAGAGCAAGACGGGAGAGAATGTAAAGAAGTAAAACGACAGGTTAAATTGTCTCTGAATGGTGGATGCGATTTTTAGGGGATAGGCCATTTGGATGCAGTCCTTGTGTCGCTACATGGTTGTCCAGCCTTCGCTTAAAGGCGTCCAAAGACGGGGCTGTAGCTACATCTGCCGGTAAGGAATTCCACGGACGGCAAACCCGCAGTGAAAAGAAGTGGGAACGCGCCCGGGTCCTTACCCTCTGGTGAGCTATCCTTCTGGGATTTCCGCGTGGGAGCCCATACCTACTCAGTGGCAGAACACCTTTGTCCGAGTGATTCTGATCATTTGTTATATTGTAGACAGTAATTAAATCCCCCTAAGACGACGGTAGCTAAGTGTGAATAGGCCTAATTTCTTCAGCCTTTCATCATATGGTTTATTTCGTAGACCAACCGCTCCAAAAATTCCACCTTACAACATTTTGCAAAATTGCTTTGGTTTGCCCTTTTAATTTTGTTTTAAATTATCAATAATGTGTCCAAATCGTATCATATATAATCGCGCATTTTCAAAATCATTACAACCTACTGCGGTGTGAGGATATAGACTATAACCAGGTGTTATCGCGCAATTTCATCGGTTACCGCGTTCACGGCTGCAGGCGTTATAATCGCCTATATTTTTGGAAATAGATTATATTTGACTAGTTTTAGACTTCTGTAGCCATGCGGCAGTATTTCGCTGTATTTTGTTCGTAGTAGAGCGTAAAAGTTTATGTTATAGCTCGGACGGATTATCAATAAAGATGTCATCCTTTTTAAGAAAGTTCGCATAGAAAGACTATTATTTGCATTATAGTGCGTTGAGGGTTTGTTTTTTGCAAGTTGTTTCAGATCTTAAGGTTGTAAATATACTACAGGCAATGGCAGAGAACTTAATGTCAGAGTACTTAAAATGAGTATCAGCTTTCTGTTGATTAGTAGCTAGCAGCTGTGTCATACAACTACTACACCTGTTACATAGGTTATATCAATCTTATTAATTATTTTGTTTTAGATCACTTAGAATTCTGAGATCCTTAATGACTTAATTGTGGCTATGAAAGATATGGAAGATGCACTTATGGCTCATATATTTAAAGCAGTTATTACTAAACAAGTTATCTGTAAGCATTTTGTAATGTTCTGGTTACAATGCTTGAGTGTATGGGGTTATTGCCTGCTTCTGTGAGTTAAGGGAGATTTGGTGAAAATCATGATACAATGAAGGTTCCTATAAACTCACTATGAATACTGCAAACTGTTGATAAGAAACTGCATCAAAGGAAAAAATGCCGAACAGCTAGAAAATACTACCTCATTTTCGATGATTATTACCTTTTGCATTTGTAAATCATCCTTCCAAAGCTCAGATTGACGGCAAACCATCCATGGTACCCCACAGGCCCTACAGAAATTTGTGAGAGATCTTACATGTCAGGTTGTCTTAGGAATTGTAAGGTTGCAGATATTTCAATTTACCTGTCACTGAAATATCACTTATCTACTTCACGATGGTCTTTTCATTTGTGCACTATTACACTACATTTTATCTTAACTGGATATGCCTTTATTAAAGCTGAGACTTACTCTTTGTGTATATTAGTTGCTTGCTTATAGTCTAGTTGCTTTTATTAGAAACAAAACAGCACCAGTGTTTGAACAAAGCTGTATTTTCATGGAAAACGTCATATTTTCTATGCTTACACCGATATGGTTTGCATTAAACATTGCAAATGTATACTAACATTCCAAGGACATAGCACTTAGCCAAATGTACAGTGTTCATTGTGAAGGGTTTACAATTTAACTCTTATCATAACCTGTTCTAATTATTATTATTCGCTTGCTGCTATCCTTTAGAAGATGAACAATGTGTGTGA